TTTTTTTTTTTTATCATTCTTACCAAACAGTTGGACGACAGCAGTAACCGACCACCGACTACCGACAGCTCGACGTTGAGCGGTAACAACAACTCAAATAAGCACTAAAAGTTTGTACGATTTGCATTAACTAAGTAAAAATTCCACTTTTTTCCCTGAGCTTTTGAAAAAATTTTCTTTTTTTAGATACCCATCACCGACATCGTACTTCAGCAGTCAAAATCACCCACTTAACTAAGCAACTGACTAACTAATCAAGTGATTAACTAACCAGTTAATCAGCCAACTAATTCACTAATGAATCAATCGTTTTAGTTGACTGCATTAACCGACTAACTCAACAAACATTTCAAAACGAAAAAAAAGCAAAAAATAAAAATAAGTTTAAAAAAAAAGAAGAATTTATAGTTGGTAACTTATAACTATTTAAAGCCTATCCATTTATCCAGTCGCATTTTGCTCAGTCTTACCCTAGCATCACTTAATACAGCTTAAGATTATGGTTCCTTCTAAATTTTTCCATGCCACTCCTCGCCCAGCCACCCGCCTTTTTTTTACCTCATCTGTCTTCTTCCTTTTTGCCTTTTAATCTTGTCCCATGCAGTCCGTCCATCTTGCTTTCATTAGTCAGCTTTTTAATAAACTGCAATTTCTGTAAAAATACCAGACATGTAGTTGTTATCTGTCTAATTGTAGACCATTGTTCCATATTTATACACCGCCAATTTTCGGCAGTCATCAGATTTTGAATTAGTTCTTTACCCACACCTAGGATAAGAGATTTAAGAGGAGAAATAATAAAACAAAAAAAAAAGGACAAAAAAAAAGGCGAAGTAGTAATTTCAGAGAACAGGTGCTTCAATGTACCGTTTTATAACCATCAAAAAATAACCGCTAATAAATTCCGTTACTGATATAGGTGATAATTTTTTTTTTAATGTTCAAATTTGCTCTGCACGCAACAACCCCTTTATTTCGTTCATTGTTTTACTTTCTTTTCTTCTTTTTGTTTCTACTTATCCTCTGTCGCCGTCGGTTTCTTTTCCTTCTTACGTACAATGAACAATATCCTCACTTTGAATTTTTAAATCTTATCTTACAGTAAAAAAGTCCCTTTTATTAACCAAACTGATCCAACAACAATGTCCAACAGAAAAAACACCCCTTTTTGCTTTTGCAACAGATAACAAAGCTAAGATGTCAAAATAAATGCATGAGAACAATTTTTGCCGCATGTATTATCTTGTAAACCATTGACTATTACAACAATGTTGTAATGAAAAAAAATTTTTGGCAACAGTCAGTAATTTTCAGTATTACAAGTTACTAGTGTTTTTGCTTAAATATAATATGCCTATAATATGCCATAATATGCCTATAGTATGCCTTAATCTCAAATAGAGCAACAAAAACAGTAACCTCCCCCTCCCCCTGCGCTTTAACAAACCCTTAAGCACCGCACATCTGTTGATGCTGTGCAAGGACCCCACAACAGACCACACACTCTGAGGGACCAAAATAACCTTCGACTGAATTTAAGCGCCTAAAGAATAAAAATCTAAGATTAACAACAATGTGACACTCCCAACAACAACCACTTCTAAGCTAACAATTTGCAGGAGGAAATTACTCAAAAGATGCTGGCTGCGGAAGGAATACAATAACAAAAGAAAGGCAAAAAAAGCAGGCTGTTTGTTATACGGTTCTTCTCAAGAGGAAATGGATCAGTTCTGACCGTTTTATTCAATAACACTTGTATAAAACTAAAAAATATAAAATATTAGCACAAAATTTCATTAGATCTTTCACTCAACAAAAATCAACAAGACATACAGAAAAAAGAAAAGCGCGAGAAAAAACCCATGAAGTGGTCAACGAAATTTAGGTAACTCACGTATTGCATGACTACCAGGTACTATAACAAGCAAAAAACAAAAAAAAAAAAAAAAATTAGAACAATGATATACAATTCTTATAAGCCTCCCTCCAATTAAGCGACAACTGAAGATCCTCCTGGGCAATATACATATCTATGTAATAAAACAATATTCACTATTTAACTTATCAAGTTCTTCAAAGATTCATATAAGAAATAAATATTAAGTACATTCTCATATTCATAAAGCAAATTTGAAAAAATATTTTTACAAAATTAATAATTGAAAATACAAACTTAAAACAAGACTACTTGTTCCGTTTTGTAGTCCACTACTTAGAGACAACAAAAAGGTTTTAAAAAATTAGAGTTCTGAAAATAAAGATGGGCAAAAGATTAAAGACGTGAAGATTTATTGGAGCAACAACTGAAAGAGGCAACTGCAAAGAAAGCTCGTGGTTGGCGGTCTGACGACCGATCGCTAACGTACTAAATTGAGTGGTTTATACAACACCAGCAGATATTGTCAACAAGACCCCGCTATGCACACAAACAAATTAGAAGCCTTAGTCAAAGGTGATTTCGTTAACCATCTTCAGTGCTTCTTCCTTTCAGAGCTCCTTTCTGTGCGAACACTTCGATGTTCTCTGAAAGCATTATTTTGAAATGAACACTCTCTTTGTCTTATAGCTTTTTCCCTCACAAGCAATATAAAACTAATCTTCTACAAAACATTGGTAAACAATGAAAAGAAAAGAAAGATAAACAAGTAAAAAAGCGACTAAAAAATGAGTTATAAAAGATTTTTTGAATTACCTGTAGAATTAGAAGAAACTTAAACCAGTCAACGCGAATGGATAAAAAATTAGTTTATAGTGTTTGAAAAATAACTTGTTTTTTGGAAAAAATCCCTGTACAACATTCAGCCAAAAAGTCATAACCAGCATCAAAAAATTAGTTTTTTTGAAAGTTTGGACTACGAGTACCGAACTAAGAATAAGTAGCAAAAGATTTGCTGAATCAGACAAACCTCGATCTCGACCTTGATCTATCTCGAATTTTGTCTCTTGCCCTGTCCTATAAGTCAAAGCATTTAGAGATACAAAAAAATAGTACAAAGTAACTGTAACAAATGTCTTACAGTTTAATGTACTAAAATTAGAGTTGACAATAATTATTTGGAAAAAATTAGGGTCTACTAGAGCCAGAAAATTAAAACAAACTTTGTCTATTCTGCTTCTCTCAGCATCCCTTTCTCGTTCTCGTTCTCTTCCCTTGCTTCGCTCACTATTATTTTCCCTTATATCTCTCTCTGATCTTCTTTCATCTCTTTTCCTGCTACGAGATCTTGAAAACATTTAATAAGCAACGTAAAAAAAAATTTTTTTGGAAAAATAAAAAATTTTCTGCTGTCGTAATTCACCTCCTTCTTTGTTTCTCTTTCCTTCGTCTTTCTTTATTTTCCTCAACGTCTCCCAACTTCTCATCCATCTTCTTTAACAACATGGCCCGATATTTTTCTACCTGCGAAGCTATATCTTCGCAATGTTCGGCTTCCAGTTCGTCCTGTAGTTTCATAACTTTTACCTGCAAAACCCATTTTAAACAGAAGGAAATAAATCAGAAGACAAACGGTCAAAGAAGTAGGGTCTATCAAGTGACCTAACGAATTTATTTCAAAAAGTACTTAAAAATGCTATAACATGTCAGTTCTTCACTGCGATACCGATAAAGAAAGACGAATATGATTTCAAAAACCACCACAAATAATGCAGGTGGTAAGAAAAGTAAGTTGTTTATCAATTATTCTAGTTCTGAAATAATCGGGACACATAGCTTCGATAAATAAAATTATATAATGAGTAGAAAGTGGAGGATCCGTACGAATTATGTAGCAATATGTTCATAATAACTGTGTATGCAACTTCAGTTTCAAAAAACATTTAATTTAAATATGCTGAACAGTAACCAAACCGCTACCTGTATCTGATAATTTAAAAAGACTTCCCACTTTCGCGAGCCACAGCAACAATAAATTCAAAAAATTAATATAAAACACGCATATTTATGGAAAGTAACAACCTCAATCTCTCTCAAAATTTTCCGCCTCTGCTCATCAGTTCGGTTCAGCGAATTGTATGAAGACTGAGAACTTGTATTAGGTCTGCAAAAGAAGACAAAAAAAGTAAAAATTTAATAATTTTTGAAATATAACCAAACTGTAAGAATAAGCAAAGCAAAAAAGATACTTCGAATCATCATCATCACGATATTCTCCATCTTCACTCCCCTGATTGCTGGTTTCTTCAATTGGCTGACCATCAATATCCTCATCTTTGACATTATCTTGACCATCATCAGAAGTTTCTTCTTCTCTGCCGTTCTCCAGTGAATCCCATTTACTTGTAGTAATGGCCTGACTTGCTACTACCGAAGGATCTACCTATAGCCGCCAAACTTAATCGGATAGAGAACTTTTGATTTCAAACGCTATTTGCTAAGATATAAGGTTCTCTTCGGATCCCAAATCTAATGAGAAATCATAGTCAAATACCGCATTCCACTGGCTTGTTTTGAATGCCGCAACTTTTTTAACAGGCTTTACTTCTGCTTCATCATCAATTGGAGCACCATCAATGTCTTCTTCGTCATCAAAAATGGCCTCCTTATCTTTACTTCTTTTTATTTCTTCAACACTTTCGTCCAGCGGAGCACCATCAATGTCTTCTTCAGACACATCTTCCTCTTTCTAAAAATAAGAAAATTAATTTGCCCCTACCAAAGCTCAGCCCATCAAGTTAAACTAGTTCAAACTGCATTCAACGGTAACTTTATAGTTCCATTCTTCCGCTTAAAAACGACAGAAAGACCGAGTAGCAGCAATTACAAGAACTTTATATAATATGCTTACCGACAACCCGAGGAAGACATTTTGAAGTTGAATCAAGAATTCAGTAGCATAAAGTGAATTATCCTCCCAGGAACGGAAACAAAGTATGACCCGCTGTTTAAACTGTTCTGCCTTCAAGCGACCTTCTATACTTTCGTATGTCTTGTTCAGTTCCTGAAATAATTCTATAAAAGCTGCAGAATCAAAATATTAGCCAGCTTATACAAACTAAGCAAAAGACACTAGTAAAAACAAATTTCAAGTAAATAGAGCCAAAATCTATTTCTGCAAGAAAATAAATCTTTAACAAAAACACCAAATTTTTAGTAATTTTGGATTTTTATAATAATGTAAAAAAACAAACCTTAAATATGCTAGGCATCAAATCCCCGATATACTGGCGGTAGTAAAATACATCCCGTATTCTAGCTGCACAATTAGCAAGAATGTCAGCAATGAGATATAAGCGAGCGATCTGGAAAGGAAATGAACGATGACATATTCATTGCATATGCTTTTAAACTAAGTCTGTGAAATCCAGAAAACAATAATAAATATCAAAAAAAATTAAAAATATTGCAAATAAGAGTAAAATAAAACGCCTTTTTATGCAAAGGGGTTTCATCAAGCGTTAGCGATTCATATAAACATTGAGAAATTTCTTTCGCACACGATGCATGCTCTACACACCACACCATTGCATCTCCAATGCAATTTTTTTCAGGAACTAGGCTTCGCAAAATATCCTGAATTAGGATCTTATGATAAATATGAAAACGGCAAACAATTTTTGAACAAATGAATCCGCGAAAACAACAGTTCACTAAAGTCGCGTTGTAAGAGAAAAGCACTACAATACTGATTCATCCCAACGTAAAAATAATCTTACTTCAAGTTCATCGCGTTCTGCAGTGCTTAGTACTCCCTTCCACTTCGCCTTTAATTCAGCTTTCCTGTCTTCATCATCTTCTTCGCTACTGCTGTACTTTTTCTTTCGTCTTTCCTGCAAATTTCAGCGACTAATTTCAAGGCAACAGCATACATACCAAGAGTACACAGGTGAACTTTTTTCCTTTTGCACTTACTGGAGGTCTTTCAGGGCTTGCTCCGCCAGCAAAAGCAGTGTGATAAAGGCATTCTGGCATGCCTCCCTGCAATAAATTCATTGGAGGTGGTTGCCACCAACTACCCTGATCAAACATCCTGAATTTTTTTGTTCTCCAACTTTGTTGAGAGTCCCCTTGCAAAATGGAGTACAGTTTCCATCGATAATATACATGGGCTGGGTGATGGTTATCAAAGAGAAACCTGGAGAAAGTTTAAGTATGCTGACAAGACGTCCCGATATAAATTGAAAAATTCGTCTGTTTGTTACAGGAAAGTTCTAACTTACTAGACAATATCTTAAAATGTAAATTAAAATATTATTCGGTAAAGAGTACCGGTAAGGTTAGTGGTTGGGGGAAAATAAATTTACCTGTAAACAGGATTCTGTCTTTCTCTGGCCATAAGCATAGCTTCGAATAGTGGCCCTTCACGTACCAAAAATTCGATAGTCCGATGTATCAAGGCTAATAGGTTTCTGAAAAAAAAAAAGGAATGAGGTGGAGCAAAGATTGAGGAGTGAGAGCATAATGAAATAGTAAAGACTGGTCGATCCCAGAAACAATGGAACATAGAGCCGTAAGGAACACTAAATGAGTGTGAAGCGGAATGTCAAGGTGAATCCCAAAGCATGAATGATCAGAAATTTAAAAAAAGAAATATTACGAACGATGAAAAATGAAAGACAAATGAAACTCTATGAGATATTAGACAGTAACTTGACCATTAGAGATAGTAGAAGAGCAAATTGATCATTACTATTATCCCTAACACCTCAGCTTGTTTCAAATGATTATAAAGAAGTCAAACACAGCAGAAGAACTGAATAGTAAAATAAACTTAATGACAAAATGATCGCAAATATCTTCAAATTTCCAAAAATGTTTTTCAAAGGAAAAACCGCAAGAGTTATCCAATGACAAAGAAAACCCTTTCTGCTCCCAGACAAGCAGATTCTTCACTCAACAGGACAGACATCTTTCAGCATGTGATGCTCGATTTCGGACAGCATAAGTTCTTAGAGAATAAAAAAAAAAAAACTAAATCCTAATTAACTGCTTAACCACTTAGTAAAAAAAATGTTCACGGCAAAGTCAATTAGTAACAATCTTTGTTTTTAAAAAGGAGAACCACTTCCTAGTGTTTTGAACCCTTACACAACAAATGTGCTATTAATAACGAACAAGTCTTAAAAAAAAGAGGAATAAACAAAAAACACAACAATTAACCAAAGAGAAATTCAAAACTTATATCTGAAGCGTTTTAAAAACAAGTGATGACACATAAAAAAAAGAGCATGGAAAAAATCTAGAAAACAAATACTATAATAATCAAAGAAGCAAGCTGTTCTACCATGCAAGAAGTGCAATTAGAACTCTGGAGTACTCTATAAAAATTAAAAAAAACCTTCCCGACGAAGCGTGAATGAATGAGGTACCTATACAACCACCTAACCTTTCCCATACAACTATAAACCTGAATCTTGTAGAAACATATTTGCTAAGACAACGATGACTGAAAAACAAGAAACATCACACATTCATAGACCTAACAACCAAAATTTAACTAGCGACATCATGTACTTCCATATCCCTGCATATCACATAATGATCAAATATAATTGCCAAACACTGATAAAGAACTGCAAAAAAAGCACAGTCAGTGGAAGACCTTCTTTACGGTGAACATTTTACAAACTCATAAAATAAGTGTTTAAGAATCCTGAACAAATATTAGGTGTGACATGGAGATTACATGAGAAGGATACCAGATATTGATAAAACCCTATGCCAAAACTCTCTTTAGCAAGAACAATCTAAGCTTCTTCATTTACTGTTTCTTAAAGACTTTCTTACAGGTGTCTCGAACCTAAACAATTACAAAAATATATAGAGATTTCATAAAGACTATCAACTCCAGATGAAAGATGGATAAGATATATTTAAGCTACATATAAGCTGTTAATTAACTGATACTTACTGGCAAAAAAGCAAATTTTTATGCAATTAACAATACACTAAAAAAAATTGGTTTTTGAAACTGAGTGAAATGTATAGATAAGTAATAATGCCACCGTTCTACCTACTCGAAAGCGTCTTATGATTTTTGTAGAGGAAACTGTTCAACACTGATTAGAACAAATTCTGAGACGAACACGATAACTGCAAACCTTACCCACAGAAATATTTGGAAAATATCAATAATGCTGCTTACCGTTTTCACCACAATATTAAAACGCGTTAAAAGTTGGAAATCTCACTGCTCAAAACAACGAAGAAACCCACAGGCACAGGGAGGCAAGGAACTTAGAAAATAAAAGTTTTGCAAAACACTTCAAAGTGAAAATGGAGCGTCTTGAAAACTTAAAAAAGTGACGTTCGCATCCAAGTTAATGTTGCGCGAATGTCGATATGTAACAAACCAAATGATCGTTTGAGAAGAATACAATCAAGTACCTTTCTGTGGGAACCACTACGCGCACCACGGCGTTCCTGAGCATCTACAGAAACATATGTTTAAATATTGCGCTAATAAGCAGAATTCGCTTTTTAATCTATGTTAAAATTATAGGCCGTTTCTACTTAAGGGAAAGAAATTACAAGAGTACCTCATAAAACACCATCTAAAGATTTCAACCGCAAAGACACGCCACTAACAACTGTGGATGATAACTACATATTTAACCAAAATCAAAACCGTAGAAAAAATTCAAGAGGCAGCCACAGAAAATAGCTTCCAGAAGAAAACGGAAAAAAAGAAAATCTACCTTTTCGTATTCTTCTCTACCATTCCCGACTTCAGGCAAAGGTCCACCCAACCGCGGCATAGGAAATTTCGCTAAAAAATCTTCTAAATCCCTTTTTTTCGGCTTAGCGTTGAATGGAAGACCCGTTGGAGGATCTGGCATAGCAAGCTCAGTTAGAGCTGGAGGCACATAAATTGGCTAAAAAAATACAATATTTTACGAACAAACCGTACTGTAAAAAAAGAAAAATTTTATTTCAGTTGCCATGTACACAGAATACTAATAAATCTTCCCAACACAGTTCAGACCCGATAAGAAAACAATTCTTTCATTATACCAAAATAAATTTATGTCAAATTTTACCTGAGGAGGAATGTTCACTGGCTTCGCTAACGATAACCGTAACTCCGACCCTTTTAGGTTTCTCCCTTGCATACCTCTTATTGCTCTTTCCGTATCCTTACGCGTCATAAATGCAATAAAACCACATAAATGATCCCGTTTCCTATCATCGTCCCTTGGATACAAGATTTTGGCAGATGCCAAGGGGCCAAAAGAACCAAAAGTGTCGTAGAGATCCTCCATTTTTACCTGAAGAGGGAGCATTTTGTCAGAAACAAAATTTGACACTGGAAAATGAGCAGTAAAACTTTGCCACGTTAAAGCAACTTCGCAATAAAAACCCTGTGGAAAAATAAAAAAATAAAGATTAATTTAGGATGGAAATCCCAGCTATACTGTACAGTTCAAAAGCCTTCCAACGCATACCTCAAGTGATATATTCGATATGTAAATATTAGTTGTGTTTGGGTCATCATCATACTCCCCGGTACCATGAAGATAAGGATTGTCGATAAGAGGAGCAATTCGATCAAGTGCTTCCTTCTCTACTCCCATCTGCTCCATCTGCGTCCGGAGAGTCCGCCTCTGCTGCCTCTCTTCTTGCAAACTATACAAGTGTAATTTCATAAAACGATAACAGAAAGTAGCGTGTTAGAGATCTATACAAAAACTAAGTACTAGAGATTTTTTGTCCTTCAAGGCATAGCAGTAATATACTAAATCTAGCCCTACAGAAAAAAAAGATAAAAAGCTATTTCAAAAAATTAAGCTGAAAATTCTTCTTCACAACGGCAAACGCTTAGGAGTGAAAGTGCAGCTAGTTTATAACCGACTGGTTCACCAAATCTAACAGTTTAACCATAAGCTTTCCCTTCAGATGACAAAAAGCCGCCAATACTACTGCAGATAAGAACTGATTAAATTAAAGTGTAACTAAAGCCTGCAGAACTGTTAGAGAAATTAAAAATCAGTGAAACTTTTAATAAAACTCTACTTGAATACGACATCACCTAATCTTAGAAACCTTCTAAACTGAACCATTTTCTGTTGTTTCACAAAAAGAAAAAAAGGTATTACATCAACCTTTTTAATTCTTCTTTAAAAGCCTCTAAATTGCTGGTTCTACTTCTTTGCTGATTTCCCTTCCCAGGTCTAGGAGGCCGTGAAGCTGGAATCATGGGACCCTTCTTAGCTTCTTCCATCATCCTGCGAGCTTTCTCTTCAGCAATTTTTTTTGCTTGCTCAAATGAACTTGAAGTGAGCGGTTTCTTATTCAGTTCAATCTTTGGCTTATAGATAGCGGGTTTGGTACCATTATCTAAAAGCGGTGAAGGTGGACGAGAATTGTAAAACGCAACAAAAAATTTAATTTGAAAAAGTTATTAATGCAATGACAAACCATCAACAACTTTATTTGCATTAACAACAGCACCGCGTACAAACGACTTCCCCCCAGTGATGGGTGCGCTTTCTTCAAAGGTTTCGCGAAACTGTTCGTAAGCTTTTGACAGCTCCGCTTCTTCATCTTCCTTCTAAAAAAAATAAGCTAAGGTCCTACGAGCATAGAAAGCCTGAGTGTATAAGTATGAAAAAAAAATTCAAAAGGTCCCTTTCTCTTCCGAAAACGATCCATATTAACATAAACTACTGGGTCCTTACGTCACACGCAATAAACCGCAGAATACGAATTATGAGCGAAAACAGTAAACCTAAAATTAATAGTATCATAATCACAAATCTACTTTTTTGCAACCGCTGACAACAACAGACGACACCATTTACTTAACTAGAATTAATTTAATACTGAAAAACTTTATCACGTTCAGAATAAATAACGCAACCCAATGAATAAATAAAAATAAGAAGAAATGGAAAATACATTAGGATAAAAAGAAGATAACACAAACACAACTACACTAAGAGTGCACACAAGAATTACTGTATGAAACAACTGATATGTACCAAGAATTACAAGAATGCTGAAGTAGTAATACTATCAAAGGATTCCCATCAGACCGACCGGCCTCCCTTAGAAGCCTTTAAAAATCCCGCAAATACAGCTTAAATAAAGATGAAAAAGTATGGTTAAATAAACCACCACTTTTCTAACGACGTTTTCAACAGAGCACAACTTAGCAATCAATATTGCGCTACTAAGATCGATACGCCATTATACATCACCACAAAGTTCGTACTTCGCGGCGATTTCTACGATCGTATTTCTCCTGGCTGGTGCAGCCCTATATCATTGCGAAGGACTCGACTGCCCAACCACCAGTGAAAATTTACAGTAACTTTTCGCGGATTTGTTCTCATCAGTCTTCCAGTCTTTCAACTGCGCATTAGTCGAACTCATCCAACTGTATGTGAGTAGGAAGTTAGTTTATAAGTCTCTTCAGCATCCAAAATAAATCTAGTGCAATCTAAATTTTTCTAAACTCATTTTCCGCAAAACTATCTCACGACACTATCACTGCAGTACATATTTTTTCTCTTGTATCAGCAAACGATCATAAGAGACCACCACCAGAAGTGGCCAATCTGTGCGACATGTTAAAAACTCAGGAGTTGAAAAAGCTATATTTCTTTCGGCAGATCACAGCAAAGCAATTAAGGTCAGCAAAAAAGAACTCGAGTAGAGTCTCTTCGTATTGTAAAAAACAACTTTCCATTTCACTTAATCGTCGAGCAAACAATTTGTTACCAATAGTTCGGCTACTGCGCAAATAATTTGACCGATAAAATTTTGTGTTGTACATGTTTGTAGCCCACTTCCACACTACTGTGGCATATTAATGCATAAAAGCAAATTCCACAAGAGATCGAAGTCAAGTCATATCAGGCTTCGATAACCACTTGCTAACCAGCTTTTGTCAGTACCTGCTAAACTATCGGATCCTTTTTATTAAATTCTCAAATCAAGGCCATAATGTGAAATGATAATCCGAATAAACGAAAGGATCTTCGCCCACAGCCGGAAGAACAACAACACTAATTGAGAAGCAGTGTTAAAAAAGCGCAAATTTGGACTGTTCTAAACTGGTAGAGAAGTAATCTTGAAGAAAAACAAACGGAAGATATTTCATAATACTAAGTAAGAAGGGACGCCGTAAGAAAAACTGCAAGAACAGCTATGAGAAACAGAAAGAATTGTGACTGGTAGCCTCACGAAGACGAAGAATCAAAGATACTAGCGCGGAAAAAACGGGACCTTGACAAGTCGTTGATATGAAATGACTGCGAGATTAATCAGGGGTCCACCGTAAAATAATCGAAAGATAGCAGAATGCAGGCGTCGTACCTACTTTACAGCTTCAGAATGAAACCAACGTAGCACTGAATTTCTGATCCAGAAATAAACCCTGTCAACAGCCTGATAATGGACAGAGCTTCTAAAGTTACGGCGGATACCAATGAAAAAACAAATTCCATATGACACCTAACACGGAGGGCACCTACACTGCATATTTTCCGTGGAAAGGCTTTATACGCCGCGTTTTAAAGGAAATTGTAAACCCTATTGCAAACCCCGGAATGCGTCAAAAAAGTGATGGAGCCCCGCATCATTATCCACTGTTTGTCACCTAAATTTACGCGAAGACTAAGGTCGAGCTGTTGGAATCTATCGTCAGTGTCAGAGGATGTGCTATTATATCCCTTAAACTCCACACTAGCTTCACTTCTAGTAAACCGCAAGTAGCCAACGGGCATTATCATTAATGTCCCGAAAGCTGACAAATACCTGCTTTCTACGAGCCTACTTCCCGTAGTACTCACATATCCATGAACTAGTTCTCGCAAAAAGACTGTTCTGCCTCATCTGCGACTCCAAACAAAACACTTAGTACTACTTAATGCAACTCATCGTCTAATTTGAACTAGTACCTTCAAACCTACTTTTAGAGCAAACATTACTTGGACTCCATCCCTGAAGTAAAATAAATGTTTCTTTAAGAACTTTTTAAGCACAATCATCAGTGCAGAACTACATTCTTGGAATTTACTTACCACTGTAGTAAAGTAGGGGTTTTTTGATACAACGTCTCAGACCAACATTCATTACATTGATGATAACCGTGAACTAATTCATTTCTTACACCATAAAATTACTCACAATTAAATATACGTTACAAGCATTGAAGAAAGTTTTAAATTTTATAGCAAGATCAATAAAAAATTTTTACACACAATCAGGTCAAACCTAAATATAGAGACGTTCCATGTTAATAATTACATTACAAATTAAATCACAGCAACAATGAAGTGAAGAGATTTTAAACTGTACATTCATGCGACGTACAAAAGTAGCGGACTAAGTACAGAAGAAAAATTTTTGAATAATAAATCCTTTACAGACAAAAGAAGAAAGCGCTTGTGTTAATAGAATGTTTTTAATGTGCAGCTGGTAGTTCCATCATAAAACCTGACTAAAAAGCATAACAGAATTTTTTTTACACAAAAGAACTATATGATTTTTATAAGATCTTAATTATTGATGTTAATATTACCAGAGGACCTTTGTGAATCCAAACAGGATGTGAAGCTGTTATGGAAAAAATCATATAAAAGTGAAATAAGTAAAGCAAAAACTAAACTACTCTAATTCGGAATTAATATGAAACTGATGAACCAAGACCCGTCCACTGGTCCGGAGCAACTGGGAAATAAATATCCATTGCATCAGAAAATCGGGTACAGTACATTACAGGAGAAATGACGGTCGGAAGAAGCGAGCCAGGTATCGCAACAATTTTAACCCAACTTTCCAACTTTTTGTCCAAAGTATAGGTACGCATATAGTCAACTATCCCAAGAACCAATTCGCTATTCGTCTCATCTACTCCGACTAGCAGACTGTAGTCCATAACATGCTAAAATTGTCAAGAATGAAATTAACAGAAGCAAAATTTTTTGGCGCATTCAACGATCAACAAAACTGTATCTCATTACTAATGAAAAGTACTCTTTAAAATCACAAAAAATATCTGAGAAACAAGAACTTTGGTGGAATTAAACGACTAGAACAACAAGAGCCGAACGTTGAAACATTGGCAAAAGAGGTCAAAAAGGAAATTAGCAAAGAGAGCGATAAAGCATGGTCTTATTAACGATGATGCTGCCCAAGATGACAATAACGGAAGAGAATGCGGACTACACCTCAAACGTGCACAATTTCCTAAATTTGATTTTACAGTAAAATTAACATTACAACTATAAAAAACCAAAATATAGTAACCTGAGCAGAAAGAAAGTGACTGTCATTGCTAATAGCCATGTTGAGTGCAGCTTTAGAATGCGGGTGTACGTATAACTGGTTGTTCCATAAATCTTTGATAAGATTCTCATCTAGTAAAACTAAATCTGCAGTTTTTTTGCCCTCAACAGCCATCCTGCAAAAGAGCAGTTGGTGAGAAGGATCTACAAAAGAATCTAATAAAAAATTTTTGAAAAGTAGAAACCTGTTTCTTTGGGAACCTTTTAAGTCCCAAACTAACTTGATGTTCCTTTTATAAAAGAGGTATTCCATGACCAAAACATCAAGTTTAAGCTGATTCCCCGATACTTTGTTTTTGTAACCAATGCGATATACTCCATAAACCTAAAGTTTGCAATTCGTGTCAGCACCTGAAGAGAATCACTGCCAACTTAAAGAACGGTAAAGACATGCCTTACACAAAGTCGTCAACTTATTTTCAGTTACCGCAGTCGAAATATAATTGAAGTAATTTGGAGCAAATTTTAGAAATGATTGTATTTCAAAACGCGACATTTGTTTGAAGACAAATCGTTCATCCTAAAAAAATAACACTTCGGCTTAAATAAATTTAAGTCAAGAAAAAATTTTAGCAACCTGTGTTCTGTAAAATGAGGCGCCAGATTTACCGCCTTGAGGATTCCATCCGACAGATACTGACAGAGAGCGAATAAAGCACTCTTCCCCCTCCACAAACAAAAGTTTACGAAGCCTATGAAAACTTTCCGCATAATATACCTAAAATATAGACCAAAAGGGATTTAGGCTAACAGAAACCTAAAAGTTACAGTAATTGTTGTTTTGACGATTCGCCTCAACGACTATACAAAGACAGATAACTACGCTAGAAATCCAAAAAAAACCTTGACAAAATATTGAGCCCGTTCATCACCAAAATCGAGTTCTATGTGCTCCTGAGAGCTTACTGTCTCAGTGTCGCGTAACCGCTTTGTTTCATAATCAACTGACGACAAAGCATATGCAATTATCGACCCTACATCAGGATGCGCGTTTCCCTTTCTATCCATCAGGTCTTTCACAACAACTGTCATACCAGCTAAATGGAATATACAAAAATACTTGGAATTAAAAAAAAGGCGATGCAAATGGTCAGGTAGAAACAAAAATATAAACTATGACAACAGTACGGTTAAGGGATTTCAAAGGCTCACTCTCTCTAAAAAAGATCAATAACCACATTAAAAAGTAGTAAAACTAATACTCACGGTTAGGGGCTGGAAGGCTTAGGTGAAGTTGAGTGAGAAATGGGCTCTCAATTGGAGACAGTTCTACCTCATTTAGCGCAACAGCAGATGAAGAAGATTTCAGAGTGTCGGAAGAAACTGCATTTGAATCCTAACAGATAATCAAAATAACATTTATTGAACAAACAATGAATAGCTTTAACCTCAAGTTTTGGCCCATTCCTGAATTAGAAAAATTAACAAAAATCAACGTGGAATTCAAAAAACAATAAAGTTTCTTGCCTTGAGATGACAAGTTTATTATCCTTAAAAGTAATTACCCGTGCTTCTGAGAAATTAAAGGTTCTCGACAGTCATAAAGAGCGATTAGAAGAAAAAAATTAGATGGGAGGATTGGGAAATGAGAAAATTAGCAGAATAGACCCGAAAAAGCAATCAAGGTTGGACGCCTGAAGAATTTCCGCGCTCCAAAAGTAGAAAACTAGAAATATTGTAAAAAGGACCTAAAATGTTTCTATTTTTCTCTAAAAGAACTTCCTGAGAAATTTCACATCAAAATGTAAAAAGATCTCCTCATATACTTAAATAACCAAAATTTATAAAATTATATCTCAAGACTGTAATTCAAATTCAATTAAACAACGCACTATTCTTAAAAAAAATAAAACATTTAGGGTGGCGTAAAAGCCCTGAATTAGTATCTGAACGATGTTAGAACTTAAAATAAGAAAAACGAAATGAAATCTAAACATTTCTTCTGCTTTGTTCGGACGTTACAAAATAAGAAAACGCCCACTAACCCTTTAGTATTACTAGCAGTTGTCCTACAGCAAAAAAATATTAGTGACCCATTTAAATGAACTAAGAGGAGGAACTCTTCCGTACTACTGGTTCATTCCTTACCTTATCGCACAGTCAACCCCTTCCGATTTCAATGAGTATCGTTCCAAAATTCTGATATTCACACAGTATACTCTTTTAAAAAAACTGGAGGTTTTTTTTTAGTGGAGTTGCTTCAATCAATGTTTTTATCTATTTCCGAGAATATGAGCTAAATGCCCTCCTGTAAATATAAAGTTATCTCAAAAAGAAAATAAAAATTGCTGAGAGTCGCCAAGAGCAAAGAAATTCCCACACACGGCCATACACTATAAAACTTGAAGTCATCTTCTTCTCAGCGGAAGGAAGATTGTTACTTTAAATCAAAACCACTTCAAACAATGTGTCTGTCCACTTTTGATTAAATCCAATTTTCAAAAATTAGAAAATACACAGTTCCACTTGGAAGCGCTTTTATACATTTACACGTTGTACAACGGAAATACATACGCCAGTACTAAATTCAAACAATGAAAACACAAAACTAAAAATTTACCTTTGGTGCATCTCCTAATACACTAGATGTTTTTGAAGCGTTTACGTGGTTAGATAAAAGATTGCTGCTAACTACTTTCTTGAATGATCGAGCTGCTTGATTAATACTCAGGCACTGTTCGTTCCACAAGTCAATCAATTTCTGGATCAAATATCGACATCGCGTTTCAGTGTCTACGGCCTGAAAGATTTTATTATCATATGTTCACGATAAGAAAAATAAAGAAATCACCTTAATGTATACAGCGTCATTTGATCGAATCGTCAGAGTTTTACTGCTCAAATCTTTATTTGGATCGAATTGCAAAATAATCTCGCTGAAAAATATGTACCCTTAAAAACTATACCATATTACATACACCAGCATTAATTTCTCATATGAAACAAGTATAGGAAAGTAAAAACCCACTCAAACTGTGCGCGAGTCTCGCTCAAAGCTTCTTTTAATACAATGTAATGAGATGAAAATCTTGAAGAATCAGGATTTTGAGCAAAACGTTCAATGCGTGTTTCCATCAGTTTGAAGATAGTGTCCGCAGTCTGTCGTATCTCACTTTCTTTGTCCGCAACAAATTTTCTCGTAAACATGACGGCATCCACAGTGCAAACCACAGGACTAAACGTAACGTGGCACGGTTTCACCTACAAGCTTCGCACTAACGACGATAACGGACGCAAAAAAAAAGCAAAAAATAACAAAAAGAAAGCGAAACACCAAAAAATTTGGTAAGGAATCTTTTTGAAATTACCGGCTGAATCTTGAAAGCCGCAACCTGTGTATTGTATGCGAAATAATGATCGTGTTGATGAAAACAGCAATGCTCGCATTTCTAAACAGCTATCTTATGACAAGGATTCACCGAAAAATGAGTAACTTGGGCAGATATTAATTTAAAACATCTTACTTTAGAAAAAGCAGAAATACTACACGCCCCCATTCCTCCGTTTGCTAGGTAGTCAATGTAACGAGCAAAACTCATTCGAACCGCAATATCCGGTAGCGATACAACCGCCGATGACGCTTTGCAGCTAAAAAAAAATGACTTACGTAAAATAACTAACGATGCAAGTTGTTTTCATGATGATATAAAAAGTTCTTTAAATTCTTAGCATTCAAAACGAAGCATTTATCGCATAAAATTTAAGTTGAAACTAACATCAAACAATAATGCCAGCAAATGATTGTATCCGCTTTGTAGTTACACGACTGTGATAAAGCCCCGGATTCATCTGCTGGTTGTACGCAATTCTGAGTAGTGATTTCTATACAAACATGACGGTAAACGATTTTGCGAGCATGGTCCAGCATGGGTACTTCACAGTTGGTAGACGGACATTGATAGTCTTTGTTGAAACAGAACCTCAACCGTACCATTATAAAAAATTTGATATTTATTAAGACAATAACATGGTCGACTTGCGTCTCTAATACAAATCAAGAGACCAGACAACTCGTTTGGACATAAAATCAGGGTAAAACCAGGATAAATTGAAATAAATTTGAACGATTCCGTTACATTGAAAAGTAGCAGCTCAAATCCAAAAAACTGACCGTAGTCGAAAAAAATGTAACTTTTCCTGAATATAACTTTCAATAAAGATACTTTCAGTGCATACATCTTACCTTTTCAAGAATTCCCCTAAAGTCATATCATTACTACCATAATGTTCCATTTGGACAACCCATGGTCGAACACAAAACAGTGGTGCATTCGGAGATTTTGGAGAAAATGAACCAAAAAGAATTGCGATTCGCTGATGAATAAGCGGATCGAAAACATCTTCATAACAACAGAAGTCTTCCTCACTTATTTTTCTAAAAAAACAAAAACAAAGGGAAAACTTAATTGCTGTAGCTAAATACAAAAAATAAATTTCGTATGCAATACAAAATCCTGCAAGGATTTTCTGCTCCTGCATAAATCTCGATCTTTATGTATTAAAAGATAGCATATTTCAAAACTGCAATTTATATCTAGTCGTGCGGTATGAAGAAAAATCACTTTTCGGTACTTGTCGATCCCTCAACGTGGTGTTTAAATATTTGTCCCGAAAAAGCTCTGTATGATGCAACATCATCGTCATTAATAGCGCACAGTGTTTTATTTTCAACAAAGTCGTGGTGCTTATAAAACGTTTCTTTCTTTGAAGATTGATTTTTCAAAGCAATCTCTATGTCTTCTTGTCTCTTCCTAAATTTCTTTCACTCATCTGCTGCTATAAAGTAATTCAATCAAAAATTTCAAAACTATAAGATTGCAATATCAAAACTTCAAAAACACCTACCTCATACGATTGAAATCGTCACTACTCAAATGTCTGTACAAAGGCTGTTTGAAATAAGGACGTAACACACACCCCCTTCCCTTAGCCGTTTCTAGAAAAGGAACACCGAACTCGATAAACGGCGACGAAGACAACGTACATTTTTTCAGACGATTCGTAAATCCATTCTGAATCCGGCACAGTTACAGAAATTCTTACAAAAACATTCACTTATACATATATATGAAAAGATTTCAGTACCTCATCTGGATCTGGTTCATTAATGTTCAGCGCACAAACAATGCAATCGCGTGAGCGTTTGGAAATTACTGTTCCCAGCAAAGAAAAAAATTGAACTTCAAGCCGAGCAGAATATAAAGTAAGAATAATAAACCGAAGAATGCGTTTCGCACAACGCAGCTGCCACCGAGAGTTACTTCGAAGAATTATAGAACATCCAAGATCAGATGAGCAGTCAGAAAAAATCTAAACAAAAAATCTAAGACCCCTTTCTTAATTTCACGCAATAAAGCAACCATTTTCTTCTAGATTAAACTTATACTACGTGCTTGAAAAAGCTAAAAAATGTTTAAAATGCGATATAAGCGATTTCCATACCAACAACGTTTTTCGCTTCCCGCTCGCCAAACGAACTGTTTGCTGCTTAAAAGAAGCACAAAAGCCAATTTTCTGTTGAAGAATTTGGACGTCAAGAGATGGCATCACGTCTGAACAGGTACTTCGAGCAATTCTTTGAAGTACTTGGGGTTTAAGATTTGATACTAATGTAACACCAGCTTGAAGAAGCATGCGAACGGCAATCTGAGCCACACTGTTTTCTACCAGAACAATAGAAGGCCTATAAGCCATTATTCGTTCAACCTGTTTGCTCAAATATTCCGTCTCCTAAAATAGTCTATATTGTTCTCAAAGTAAAAGGATAGCCGTTTCAAACTGTGTAAAACCTGCCTGCATCACAATTGGTTCTATGGAAGAAAGTTTTTCAGCAACCCGCTCATATTCCAAACCTCCAGCGAGAGCCAGTACTGATGCATTTGCGATGGTGTCCGGCATATGTGCGTGAGTAATGCTTTTAGAGCACACAACGCCATTAACAATCTAAAAATGAAAAAGAAAAAGTTAGTTTACAAAATACATCAACTACAAAAAAAATTTAGAAAACTGCCCTATTGGGGCAAATTTATTGAGCTAATAACATTCTTATTACTGCCACTAGTAAAGCAAGAAAAATCGAATACGACGGTGCCTAATTGTAGCATGAGTAAAAAAAACTACCGCTGCAGACGGTTTTTGATCATCAACCCATAACTTTTTAATATGTACGTAATTTAACACATTCATGTGGTCCCTACGATTTTCGACATCAACATTAACAGAGGCCGCGACCTGGCGGCTCATTGGCCAAATGACATCCCACCATCTAAAGTTGATAAAACAGATTAAAAAAGTATTAAAGCATCTTTAAAACTATAAAGTCTTAAATATTAGAAATTTCAACTACTTCTAAAGTCTCCAAGTCTGCACATTTAAGTTTCATAACCACAGCCCAAGAATAGAAAGTCGATAAAATAGAAAAAAAATTAATGGGTTCTATAACGAAAAAGTTAAGAAAGTAATACACTGTTGGGTCAAGCATTTCTCTTTCAAAAAGATATAGTAACAGTTTCTGAATCCGTTCCTCAAAAGCACTTTCCAGTGGTATATCCTCCTGAGGACCTTCATCTACACAAGAAGGCAGTCCAGGAACTAATGTCTTTGACCTATCCTCGATCTTCGCTATAGTTGCATCAAAGTTGTTATTACTAAACGCATCAAATCCAGAAATATTGCTTGGTAACGAGCTAATTTCATCAGGTTTCTGCAAACTGAGTCTGTAAAACACCCTTATAAATGGGTAAAAATGAAAAATGCAAGGGTGGCAACGTACGACAGGTTTAAATTCAGCAAATATAAGACAAACATTGAGCATTTTTGGAGTATTCGACATTTCAATACTTCTGACCCACTCTGGTTCGTAATCGTCAATAGACGGATAGTGCTCAGCAGGTGGCAAAGGTGAAAATTTAGCTGTGGTTTCCTTCTGAGCTGCCAACTCTACAACAGAGAGGAGAGACGGAAGTTGGTTTGATGCAGTAAGAGCACCACCATTTTCCTTTGAATTATACGTAGATCCCTCCGTATTTCCAGATGACGATGAGGGTTCCCCCAGCCAAAGCAAAGATCCTGTAAAGTTAGAAATAAATAATAAATAAGTGTCAACTGAAAAACATAAAGAACAGTATTTTTGCCTGCTGAAACGGTGGCAACGTTCTTAACAGGCTGATCCCTAACAGATAATTCTTCTTTAGTCTCTCCCTGCTGGCTATCAGAAGTTGAAAGTCCCTGAGGTAAATAAGTTACAACAACTCGTGCACAATACTCGCAAACGCGAAGTTCTCCCATGTAGCCTAAACAATAAAAAATAATTTCGCTTCCACGACATTTTCTTTTTTCAACTGAGTGGTCTTGAAATTTGTCATTAATTACAAATTCTTTTCCTAAAACACGAAAACCCGTTTCTAGAGCTCTCAAAAACATAATATAAATTGTGAAAATTCAACAGGTTTCTCAATTTACGTCCAAAACCAGTTAGAAGTAAACGTAGCAGCTTAAAAAACAATTTAAGTTCAATGTTAAAGTTAAAAAAGTTTAAGGGTAAACCTAACAGAGATCCTGGAACTTGTACACTACAACACTTTGCACAAAATATCTGACCGCAGAGCCGGCAATGGTGCCTACGCCGAAAAACGGTAAAACGCTCCTGACATTCATAGCATTCTTTACCAGTTGAATCTGGCATCCAGTAACGTCGAAAGCTGCTACTGAAAAAAAACCACAAAGAACATATAATAATCAAGAGTACTCACTAAACAAAGTTTGTTAAAAGATATAAGCAAAACTAATTACCTGTTATAATCTACTAACGATGGTTTTCTTGACCGGAACAGTGAAGACAGTCTACCAGGAATCCCTCGCACTCCTGTGGCTAAAACGTCATCGCCACCTTCTTCCCTATCAGTTGCCACTTAAAAAAGTGTAAAATCAGCCTCATCTCAACACCTCAGAAAAAATCTTCTGGTCTATTTTGAAAATTCAAAAAAATATTTTTTTACTTCGTGGTAAACTATGCAGCAATTGGAATTCTCTCCTTTAGATGCTCTACTCATCACTTTACTCAGATAGTCATTATCTAATTATTAGCATATTCAACAAGTTCTCCGTTAATGAGGCAGATGTCAAGTTCTTAAAGTCGTATGCAACCTCACTCACGATTTAGTACATCTGCAGGAACTGATACTCCAATAGAGCATCGGAATTTCCATCAAAATCAAAATAAAAAATCACCTTCAGGAGAAACTGTCACATCCTCTTGGTCCTTCTCTAAACCAATGACTGCAGATGACGATGCAATCCCAGCAGCTTCAGAGCCGTTATCCTCTTCCAATACTGTTCCTGACGATGACTTGAAAAACTTTCCAAAAAAACCCGTAAAAATATTGGAAGTAGATGCATCATCGTTCTCTTGTTCCGGTGGCAGTTGAGCGAAATATGTTAGTTCAACGTTACTGGTGGCCATTTCGTTACGAATACTCAGCAGATCTGCTGTTAAAAAAATATTTAATATTTCTTGATAAACAGAACAAAACGAACAACCATGCAGAAAAGAATGTATCATGCAAAACATCACATAGTAAAAAGAGTGAAGAAAACTGCCAAGAATTACCTACGCATATTTTCCCTGCTAGCTTTTTGATTTTGTCATTGCTGAACAAATCAACTTCCAGAAACCTGCTGGAACAACAAAATACTATGGTGAATAGGAAAAAAAGTGCAGAAAAAACAACAGTTCTTCAAATGTAAGGATGTGCGAAGCGTAATTGTTAATTAGTGCATGAAAATATGTATACATACAAATGTTCAAATAAGGTTGGGGTCCTAAAGAAAAGTGTAAT